AGGGGAGTAGAAGGAGCCGCCGGGAGAGAGGGGAGAGCTTGACACAGAGACTCTACCCACACACAGCCAACACGATTGCACAGCACATAAAAATTAATAAATATTTGTGCTTACCTGATATCGCCTACCCTGTCGTCTTCTTCCCACACAACGAACTTTATTACAACAAGCAAATAAATAACAGGGTGAGAATGTGGTAAAATCTGAAAACATGGTAAAAATCAGGCTGGTTTTCTTTCTCTGAATTGCTTTTGAAAACACTGTCAGTTAGGATAAGGAAGTGGGTGGGGACTGGTCAATCTGTGCTTTTGAATACACTATTGGTTGGGTTTAGAGAAGGCGGAGGGTGGGCCAGTCGATCTGTCAGTCAGTCAGTGAGTCCATACTGGTTACTGGCTTCATAAATTCTGAGATTTAGCGCATCTCAGCAGAGCACAGACAGTTGACTTTCCGCCACAATATGGCGACAAAGAATGCATATTAAGTCCTTAGGGGAGAAAAACAACACTTTTTCAGCGAATGTTTCAAACTACAGCTGATCAAATCATTATAAAACAGACATTCTAAGTCGATTTCTCTCTTTTGTATTTTGTAGTGCTGTATTTATAGCATAGTAATATGCTAGTGTTTGCTTTGCTCTGACTTTTGGGGTCAATTATTGTGATCTCCCGATTACAACAGAGAAATACAGGGAAATCTCTGTAGACTGATGGCATTTCATGCTGTTCAGCCTTATAATCTTAAAATGTGAGCAGAATCTTTCCCAGAGATGGGTTGCGGCTGGAAGGGCATCCGCTGCGTAAAAACATGTTGGATAAGTGGGCGGTTCATTCCTCTGTGGCAACCACAGATTAATAAAGCGACTAAGCCAAAAAGAAAATAAAAAGAATGAATGTGAGCAGAATCACGCTTTGTCATCACTTTAGATATTCCATGAGAATCATTCAAATACTAGCCCTAAAGAGACTTTGGTGAAGTAGCAACAGATTCAGCAGTTTTGATGTCAGCTGCAGGTGTGTATGAGTGGCGGAAGAAAGTAGTTCCTCTTAAAAAGGGTTTTTGCAGCCTGATCTCACAAGAAAACGTAAGTATTTTACGTTTTGCCAGTTTAGTGGCTAATTCGTACAAGTTCAGTCGTACGAAATGGTACGATTTTAAAAAGGAGGCGTGGCACCTAACCCCACCCCTAACCCAAACCATCATTGGGGGATAAGCAAATCGTACTAAATTGTACGAATTAGATCGTACGAACTCATACGAATTAGCCACTAAATGAAAAACGTACAAATTGCCGTGAGATTGTGTTGGTTTTTTAGACTCTCCGTGGTTGTTTTTTTTTTTTTTATTATACAGGATTATAACGTCCAACTGTTGTAAAAACACACTCGTAGCAGTGTGATGGCTGTATATTGTCACTGGTGGGACACTAAAGCACACAAACCAACACACACCTCCCACCTGTGCCAATTAACAGCCATATTGCACTGCTACTAGTGTGATATTGCTCATATATAACAATATATACTATTATATTATATACTATTAAATACTATTATTGTAACGAAGGGTCTGACACAGAGGGATCCATTTGCAGTATATTTATTAAACAGAGTTTAATAACAATAAGCACACAGATGGTACTTGTGTGCGAACTCACATCAAACACAGCAGTATCAGGTCAAAGGGCTGGCGGCAGGCAAACACAGGGTGAGTAAGCAGGCATGGGTCAGAGGAAGGTGGCGAGGATCAAAGTCGGTAATCAGGCTAGGGTTCAGGGCAGGCTGCAGGCAAGACAAGGTCGAGATACAGTACAGGTAAGCAACGGGAAAGCAGGCAAGGAAGAGTACCGCTCAGTGGTGTTTGCTGTGGCAGAACAACACTTCGTAATGAGGTGTGTGTGTGTGCTGCTTAAATGAGAGTGTTTGCTGATCAAGGTGATGTGCTGCAGGTGTGTAAGTGGCAATCAGTATTTGGGATGACGTAATGCTAGAAGTCCGGTGATGATGACCTCTGCTGGCCAGCGAGGGGAATGACTGGGACCGAGTCGGTGACAATTATATTATATTATATTATATTATATTATATTATATTATATTATATTATATTATATTATATTATATTATATTATATTAAGTTATATTATATTATATTATATTATATTATATTATATTATATTATATTACATTATATTATATTATATTATATTATATTATATTATATTATATTAATTATATTAAGTTATATTATATTATATTATATTAAGTTATATTATATTATATTATATTAAGTTATATTATATACATTATATTATGTTATATTATATTATATGATATTATATTATATTAGTTATTCTATATTAAGTTATATTATATTATATTATATTAAGTTATATTATATTAAGTTATATTATATTATATTATATTATATTATATTATATTATATTATATTATATTATATTATATTATATTATATTATATTATATTATATCATTCTTACACTA